CGACGGATTGAATATCGGACTTTTCCTGTCGTAATAACACATGCTGTTCCCTCTCCTACTGGTATGCTTCACTGATAGTCTTGACATTGAATTACCAACATCACGCGTTTAGATAATATCTAGTAATCAAATAAATACAAGCTTTTCAGATAAATTACAACGTATTCTCAGTAAAAGTGCTTAATGGCATAGTTATATCTATTTTTCATTGTCGTCTGACTCAACCAAGTATGAACTAATACTAACCTGCTGAATATCTGTCTAAAGCAATTATTCTCCTCCCATTATTTGTGAGTGACTTTAATGTTTGACATTCAAACATTCTAACGAAAAACCTCTTCAGCATGTCACCAGGAGTTGCGTCTAGACAGTCACTATTGCAAGCCAAACTGTGCCAGACAGTAACCTGCCTAACAAGATGCAACATTGTAAATGTCTAGGACAAAAGATGAAAACCGACATTTCCAAAATTTGCATAATCTTAATTTATTGACTTCGCGCAAAATTGCTGTATGCTGAAACCTTGGCTCAGGATTCAATCTAGGCTTTTATTCAGGCCAAATCTCTCATGGAAAAAGAATGTTTGTAGTGGCTGCCTCCGTCACCCGAATAAAGGTTATACGAGTTAATGAGCGGTGTCAAAATAAACTCGGGACCCATATTATCGGCAAGATAAGATACACTTAACCGATTAGGGTACTTTTTTAACTATTATTTTTAAAAAGATAAAGTTTGCTTTGGTTAAAAAGCCATCTCGTAACATAGCACATACGCATTTTTATGAAGACTCGATTAGGATTTGGAATACTTTTGGCCAACCCTTGTCGCTCTGCGGAGCTAAAGCATGCCGTCGACGACTATCGAGTTTGAAAGCAATAAAAAGTGGGTGATATGAAGATCAGGATGGAGGTCGCGGTCTTCTTTCGTTGGATAGAAGTTGTTTGACCTTGTTTTCGCAACTTGGTCATATTGTCAGGAAGACCAAGAGGAACGCCCTTTCTCCGGAGTCCATTGTATGCATGATAGTTTCCAGAGTCGGACCGTGGGCGTGGTACATTCCCAGACGCTTCGCTGGCATCGTAGTCGGCGGCATCAGTGAGCCTTGCCATTCTTATCACCACAATACAACTTGTCAAAGAGACAAATGAAGTGTGCTAAACAGTTGTGGTATCTCTCCTTCTGTTCTAGGCTATCCACCTATCCTATCTATATTTCAAATAGGTATAGATGAACAAGTAAGAAATTGTGATATTGAATGGGTCCTATAGGAGAGGTGAATAGCCCAGGTCAATTGTTTAGCACAAATTGGGTCAAAGGATTGACTCCACTTGTCTCTTTGACGAGCTGTAGTGAGGTACTAAGAATTGCAAGGTTCACTACGTTGCCGGCGAAACGTCTGGGAATGTACCAAGTCCACGGTCCGATTCTGGAAACTATCATACATGCAATGGAGTCCGGACAAGGTGCGTTCCTCTAGGTCTTCCTGCCAGTTTGATCAAGTTGCGAAAACAGGGCAAACAACTTCTATAACAAAGAATGAACTCTAAGAGATGCTCGGAGTTGATTGAATTGCCCAGCTCCTTAATTTGGAATATAAAAACTAAAAAGCATGCATACTCGGTGATTTCTAATTAACATTAACATTTTGATACTTCACAAAAGTAAGTTACCAAGATAATGGCCGTGGCTTCATTTCGTTGTTTAGAACTTGTTTCACCTCGTTTTCGAAACTTGGTCGTATTGTCGAAGGAGGCATGATAAACACACCTCGTGAGAAACCCTTTGCCATTGTAGCCATGATCATTTTCATCGTCAGATAGAGTATGTCGTTTATTCCCAATTGTACCAAATACCAAGTCTACGGTCCGAAGCAGGAAATTATCATGGGTAGCATGGAAGAGGACTCCAGACAAAGTGAGTTCATCAAGGTGACTCCGACAATAGGACTAAGTTGTGAAATCGAGACCAAACCATTTCTATTTCTATTTAGGTTTACTCTTAGGTTCAACAGGGACTACACTATTTCTTACGATGAGTATCTGCATTATGAAGGAGTGGAATACACGCAAGCTGAAACCTGGAGCCTGTAAAAGGGACTAGACCCTGAGAAAGTTAGACATTTAGCTGTTTCTCAATGCATAATTCAGTTACCAACGAAGAGTAATATTGATAAGAAACATAAATATTTAGTAAAATATTAAAGTATTCTCTACGGTTGAGTCATGGTAAGAGAGGCATAAACGATGTTTCAGACAAACCTGTATGTACTTTGCAAGAACCTTGGCGTACTGAAGCCTGGGGCTGTTGGCGCCGCAGTTGCTCACGAACCAAGCGATCTTTTTCGTTTTTCTGGCAGCGTAGTTCTTGGTTGGTGTGGAGCTGGAAGTTCGCGAGGTCAGGTCAAATGGAGTGTACTTGTAATACGGAGTGACGATTGTCGAGTCGAGTCGGTAGGACATAGTAAAGTTCATCTTCAGACATAGTGAATAAAAAAAACGCTTTATGGAGAAACCAAGACTTGAGCCACATAGTTGTACAGGATGATAAAAAAGAAATATGATATGAGACATTGTAGATTGAAAATACAAATATTCACAAAGTAGGAATACAGTTATTATACACAATATGTGTTATATGTATATATAAATGTCTTAGACACTATCTTTCAGCTTAGTTTTCCCTCAACGGGCATTAAAATTTCACAATAAGCGCACTATTTTTCAAAGGAAATTAATGATTTATTCATTCTATGTTGAATCAAATAAGCTAATAGCTAATTTGTTGTTAACAATTATAAAGTATACAACATATGATGATGCATAACAGATAATCAAATTTTCGCACGGACTTTGGTAGAGTTAGATTTAACCGTAAAAATTATAGTCTCGAAACCTACTGAGTAGGAATATTAGCCATATGCATTAAAAGGTTTTGAGCTCTTTAGAATAAAGTAAGATGAAAGCTCGATTCTATTTTCAACCATACCCTTATAATGGCTGCCCGGTTAAATTAAATCATATAATAGTCTTCACTATCCGAAAAAAACTGGGTTCAAACTAAAAAAAGTTGTATAAGGTTATTCTTTCTTTGAATTGAGACTAGCTGGTTAGATTTAACACCAGGAGCTAAAAATGCATAACTCCTGATCCAGATCGGTACATATTGCGGATTTTACATCGGACACCGTAAGTCAAACTAAAAAGTATACTCCAAGAGTATGAATGAAGTTGCCTTAGTTTTATTCTATATGGGAGAAGATAGGATTTCGTTTTCTATCCTATAGAAGGTAGATAGGCTGCTTTGTTCATTTAAAGTTGAAGGTTATTCAGGCACGCTCACGCACACAGATCCGGATTTCATTTAGCTGTTTTACACAAGAAAACCTCTCGAGTGTAATCAAAACAAAGCGATATCAGACTCCTGCAGCTCAATTTGGCCTCTAAGCCACTTATTTTGATATTTCACAATACATTCAACTTTTTGCTTGGCTTTATGACTGAAGGTATACAGAGCAAAATAGACCAATGTTTCGGGGGGCTGGTAGTCCATAAAGTTCTGAACTGACTTTAAATTTTCGACCACAAGTAACAGAATCAAAGTCTTTCTCCACAGACATGGCTACAAAGGTGTAAACGGTTTGTGATCCTCACTAAGCTGCACATACGTTCTCGCTATAATCGTACTAACCACGATAGCTTGTATGCTCAATTTAATTGGACAACGAAGGTTGACTTATACTGGCATATCTTTAATTTTGATCTAAACTCGGAATTTATATAAGAAAATAAGATAATCAAGGAGTCAGTCATGAATAGAATAGTCAGCAATTAATAGAATATACTTTATCTTTAATGGTAAATTGTACGAGCAAAACGGAGGGTTAGCTTTTGGATCGTGTTTTTCTCCAGTCTTAGCTAATAACTACATGGCTTAATTGGAAGTCCGGTTTTTTTCGAGAGTCACTGCTAGCTTCGAAACTATTGGTCAGATATATTGATGATTGCTTTGCTATCTGGAAGCATGACAAAGGGTGTTTTGATGACTTCTCTGATCTAATGAATAGGGTGGATAAGGCAACTAAATTCACTATGGAGTTAGAAAAGGACAATAAGTTACCATTTTTAGATGTTTTACTTAGCAAAGTAGGAAGCAAACTTGGTAGTGATGTATATATGAAATCCACAAATGCTGGGTTCCTTCTTAATTTCTTCTCTAACCATACTTATGATGTTAAGGTAGGTGTGATGAAATCAATGATAATACGGAGTTTATCTCAAGCTGACGTAACTCATCAAGAACATAAGTTAGGAAGGCAAAGAAAAATCTTAGTTGAGAACAATTATTCTGTAGGATTAATTATTAACAAATTGAAAAATATTGAGAAATAGGGTGAAGGCAAACCATAATTTTGGGCAAAACAAGGAATCGAACAACTCTTCGACCAGGTTAATAAGGCTACCATCCTGTAAGCTATTAAGAAAGATAGGCGAATTATTGAAAAAGTGGAGTGTCAAGATAATGTATAAAGGAACAATAATGTTTTCATCGATAATGCTTTATTTTAGACAATCTTCAGACGCCCTCTGTATATCCTGTTGTTATAAGGATTTCTGTTCATGTGATAGTGTTTATATAGGAGTGACTTGGCGACCCTTACATAAGAGGCTATCAGAATACAGAACCGCTTGCGAAGGTTAATGGATTCAGAAATTGGAATTGATTGAACATGTAATCGCTACAGGAAACCAGATAGAGTGGTCTAAATCCCAACGTTTTTCCGGATATGGGGACTTCCCAACTAAACAGAAGATCAGGGAGTCGATTCAAATTATTAAAACGAAGAACATCTTGAATTGGAGGAACGAATGTGCGAAACTAAGTAAGATCTGTCTCTGGCTTCTAGATATACTGAGAGAGAAAGAGAATAAAAGGGAACATGAAGAGTCACTGAGTAATAGAAGAAGACTAGGCTAAGCTGGAGCCTGTTTTTGGAACTAAAATTGTCAACTAACTCGTGAGTGTCGCATACACATACAAATACGCATCCACGAAGCTAAAACAAGACCCAGGACTACTGGATCATACGCTAGTTTATTTGCATAGACAAAAGTCTTGGCCACATCAGCATGTAGGACAAGCATAAGTCAGCCAGCCAAATAATGAAATGTCTCATTAAGATCGCAAAATGATGTATAAGAAGTAAATAGGATCTCAACTGGCCATCTTTCTTGGTTTAAGTTTTTTGGCGATTGTTCGTGAATAATAGTTACTGGTTCTGTCGATGTCCGTCACATGAGGGACGAAAGCTCAGCACGAAGTCATCTGAATCGTGATCCTAGGGCACTCGTAGCAATGTGGAATAGTCATTATTCTGTAGAGCTTACACACTGCACTGTTATGGTTCAACTCCCACTGAGGGTGTTGATAAGACCTAGTCGAGGTCTTCTTCACACAATTCAATAGACAAAAGTCATGCGGTATACGGTGAGGCCAATCTACGAATCCCTCCGACTTGCTTTCTCAAACGAAATAAAAGGTACGCCAGTGTCAATCTTTTAAGATATTTTTCGAACCCCAGCTTCTCTTAAAATGTTGACATAGGGCTGAGACTTTTAGCTACCCCACAAGATGACTTGAAATGTTGGCCATAACTTCTGTTAGCAGGCCAAAAGATCGAAAATGGGCTAACATATTGGCACTGTTTTATAAAACATATTTCATAACATTACTAATTGTGTACAGGCAAAAGCAGAAGTGGTATTCCCTTAACCTGTAAAACTTTAGACTGCGACCATATTAAAAGCCACACCATCTTGGTCTTTTTAGATAATAAGTTGGAGTAGTTATCCATCTAAAGCGAATTTCATCTCAAGATTCGATGGTCTTTAGTTGATATCGTCAAATAACTTACAAAATGAATCCATTTGACCTAAGCAGATTTTTCTTAAAACTAAAGTAGAAAAAAAACAGGTTAGCAAAATCCATTAGGTTTCTTTACTGATTCAGATACATACCTCATTTATAAAGATGCAGGTAAGAGGGGGTAATTAATAAACATAGTGAGGGTTCCTATGTCATTTATTTACACTGAGTAAGGCAAGCTTATAGAGTTTATGCACAGTAAACGAATAAGCATATCGATCTGCATAGCTGATATCATAAGGTGTATTTTCGATAGTTTTAGTCTAAACTAGTTGCTCAGAATAGGAAGAAATTCCTGTTAAAACTAAGGATGCATCAGAGACTTAGGCCTAAGGTATCTTATTTTTATCAATATTTATTTCCTCTTAGAAAGCATATCTACATAAAACTTTAGTTGAAACTGTAATAAAAATATGTTCAAAATAAGATCTCATAAGATAATCAAAATTTATCTAAGGTTGTGTTTGTAATTTTAGCTTTAAACGAAACCTCTCACTCACTACTAGAAGGCTCTTAAAGAATCTCCTTAAAAGAGGTAATTTTTCAGCTATCAGTTGAGATTTATACTAATGCCTTACACCAATTTTTCCCAAGTACTTGTCTGGCTTGCATCTCAAACTCTTGCCAATCGGGCATTTAAAAATCAGGTCAATTTAACGAGTTCTTATGAAGCTTAGCTGGAGCCTAAAGTCAACGTGAAAATTTCTTGATCGTCTACGGTATTGCCAAGGTGTAGAATGCGTTTTAATGGGAAGTGACCAAGGCTAGATTTAGTCAAAAAGCCTATTAAAGTCTGCACTAATGCTCATAAGAATAATCCTAAACCTCAAAGCATTTTATAAAAACAAATTTAAAGTATCAAACAAATAAACGATAAAAAATAAAAAAAAATAAATACAGTGGATAACTCTTGAGATAAAAATTTAATTTGATTAATGACTGAGATTACTTAGCCTTTTGCATATTTTCACTTTATTACATGTGTAGCTCATTTCTGGCTTATATTCGACGTTCTGTGGTGACAGATAATCGGTTGCCAAGTTTTGTGATTTACTCGGCAAACATGCTAAAGGGGTAAGTTATTGACTCGGTCCTTTGGGAAAACTGATAATATTGACACAGCAAGAATGAAAATTAAGCTTTTTCATACGCGAGGCACTAGAGCATCTAAGCGGACTTTGTCCGGTTTTTATGCTCCATATGAACAATAGCTTTAGTGCTGCCTTGCCAATGAAGAGGATTAAATTCTTTTTTTCTATTCTTTATGTCCTAATGTTCATGCTTCCTATTGCAAGCAGACGTGATAAAACCATGGTCATACTTTTTAACTCTGTCTTTTGGATTTTCCTGCTTCTTTTTGAGGATTTTAGCTTACATTTACCAGAATATAGGCTACATAAGTAAATGGTGAAATTGTACCCAAACTCAATTGGTTCTCACAGATTTTGGACTTGATAGTAAACTGGTATACTTTGGTGACTCCAAAGAACTGAAAATCCATATTTGGCCCAAACGAGGACGTTTGATAAGTGGTTCGGAAGTTTGATGAAAGACAACAACATCAGCTTCCTCTAGAGGGCCGTCACCTTGGATAAATTCACACTCGTAGACAGGACAATGCTTCGATGCGAATTCTCTATTACTGCTGGTGTCGAAGAGGTAAGTCAATATCTTCTTATACGAAATCGGATGGCCTTTTCTACGCGCCTAAAAGAGGGAGATGTAGTTGACAATGGAGAAATTAGAAGGGCTTATGCCCTCGTATTTAATAAAATGGCTAAAACATTTATTAAAATATCACAATCTAAAGCTTTGTATTTGATAGACAGAAGAAAATAGGACTAAACTTGCAATCGCTAATTTGGCTATGCCTAAAAATATTTCTCCTTTTATAGAATTTGGCTTAATGATTTACAATGCAGTACTTTATCGATGGGGTTCACATCAGATAAGCTTACAACTAAGTGATGCGAAATGCCAAATGTAGATTCTGAATAAAAGCAAAAAGCAAGATAAAATAGCTGTCAAAGCTAAGATATTTTTATGACTTGTATTGAATAGTTAGATTCGAGAAAAACAGATTAATAAAACCAAAAGGGTATTATTAATATTAATGAAAGAGACAAAAAATTAATATACTTACTAAAATCAACACTTCAATTAGCAATTTATTGAGAAATAATCAGGTTATTCGGAGGCAATATATGTTGGGGGATCTAATGTGTTAATAGTTTGCTCCACTTTTCATTTATAGCAGATAATGTGGTGAATTAGAGACTATTTGATGAATATAAGAAAATAGAAGTTTTTTGACCTCATTTTACCAACTTTGTCATATTGGTAGGAAGACTTTAAGGAAGACACCTAGTCCGGAGTCCAATGTATCCATGATCATTTCCAGAGTCGGACCGTGAACTTGGTACATTTCCAGAGGTTTCGCAGGCATCGTCAGTGACCCTTGCCATTCTTAGCACCACACTACAACTCGTCAAAGAGACAGGTGAAACCGAACCTTTGACCAAATTTGTACTAAACAGTTGTGGTATCTCTCCTTCTTTCCTGGGCTACTCACCTCTCCTATCTCCTCGTATCACGTCTTAACTGTCAGCCGACTAGCTCCAGTCTTC